ACTTTCAGCTTGTAGGATTTTTTTTTTTTTTTAATATATACTTTACTGAAATTTTACAGAGAGGAAGGGAGAGGGATAGAGAGCTAGATACATCAACCAGCTGCCTCCTGCGCACCCCTCACTGGGGATGTGCCCGCAACCAATGTACATGCCCCCAACCGGAATCAAACCTGGGACCCCCAAAGACTGAGGCTCTATCCACTGAGCCAAACCGGTTTCGGCCTCTCTTTCTTTTTGAATATATATTTCTTTATTGATTTTAGAGAGGAAGGGAGAGGGAGAGAGAGATAGAAACATCAATGATAGGAATCATCGATCGGCTGCCTCCTGCACCCCCACCCCCCCTCCTACTGGGGATTGAGCCCGCAACCCAGGCATGTGCCCCTGGCTGGAATCGAACCAGGGACCTTTCAGTTCCCAGGCCAATGCTCTATCCGCTGAGCCAAGCCGGTTTCGGCAGCTTGTAGGGTTTTTGTTTAGTCCCGTCAGGGTCCCCCCAGCCAAATCCCTCTATGGCCAAGGCAGTTAACGGAACCTGAGTGAAGAAGGGAAGTGTGAAGGGAGCAAAATATGCCTGCCCTCGCTGGTTTGGCTCAAGGGTCCAGGTTCCATCTGACTGATGGCGAGGGACCTGGCGGCCGGAGGGAGAGGGAGTGTGTGGCAGGAGCCTGCACGAACCCACAGCCAACAGGAGTGCAACGAGGAGATGCGAACCCCAAGGCAAGTCACCGGCGGAGGGTTTTGGCAGCGTCAGGGGCTGAGGCCCAGGAGGTCACGGGGTGTGGGCACGGTGGGTAGAGGAGAGGGTGCGTAAAAACAATTCAAGTCCTCACGGTGAATGTTCACCGATGCCACAGTTTTTTCTCCCTGCGTTTATACTCCAAGAGAGCTAGAATTTTCTTATTTATTTTTTATTTAAAAAATATATTTTATTGATTTTTTTACAGAGAAAAAGGGAGAGGGATAGAGAGTTAGAAACATCGGTGAGAGAGAAACATTGATCACCTGCCTCCTGCACACTCCCTATTGGGGATGTGCCTGCAACCAAGGTATATGGCCTTGAATGGAATCGAACCTGAGACCTTGAGTCTGCAGGCTGACGCTCTATCCACTGAGCCAAACCGGTTAGGGCGAGAGCTAGAATTTTCAAGGCATAACAGAGCGATGGGATGTTAGGAACATAACTCTCTAAACATAGACCACACTCTATGAAAAAATATTCCTGCCCTTGCTGGTGTGGTTTGGTGGATAGAGCGTTGGCCTGTGGACTGAAGGGTCCCAGATTTGATTCTGGTCAAGGGCATGTACCTTGGTTGCGGGCACATCCCCAGGAGGGGTGTGCAGGAGGCAGCTGATGAATGTTTCTCTCTCATCGATGTTTCTGGCTCTCTTTCCCTCTCCCTTCCTCTCTGTAAAGAAAATCAATAAAATATGTTTTAAAAAATATTCCTTTGGATCAACCAATGAACTTGTATGCATGTATGCATAACAGGTGGACAAGACAATGAGATGATAGGGCTGGGGTATATGTGTGTGGGGAAGGATGGGATTGGGCTGGAAGGGGTTCATGGGGGAAAGAGGAGGACCTATGTAATACTTTCAACAATAAAGACTCAAAAAGAAAAAAGGAAATATATTCCTTTGTATATTTAACAGAAAATAGGCTCAGAAAAAAAAAGAGTTTTAGGCTAGAATAGCTAATTGGGACGATCGAAAGATTTGCACTTAAAAAATATATCTTTAAGAAATAAAGCATCCTAGCCAGTTTGGCTCAGTGGATAGAGCATCCGCCTGTGGACTGAAGGGTCCCGGGTTTGATTCCAGTTAAGAGCATATGTCCGGGTTGCGGGCTCGATCCCTAGTAGGGGGAATGCAGGAGGCAGCTGATCAGTGATTCTCTCTCATCATTGATGTTTCTCTTTCTCTCTCTCTCTTCCTCTCTGAAACCAATACAAATATATATTTTTTTAAAAAAATAAAGCCATTCAAAGGATTAAAAAACAAAACAAAACTAAAAAGCCCAGCATCGGCTTGAAAAGTTCTGAAGGGCCCTGGCTCGGGGCATGAGGTGTCCAGAGCGGGCCAAAGTCACCCAAATCCTTTGGCTGGGTTTGTTAGGCCTGTAGCTCTGCTGCCCCCTGCTGGCTCTGTGCTCAGGTTCCATCTCACCTCTTACTGGGCTCTGAGGTTGTCGGGTCTGGGCCCTTCTTTCCTTGGAGATGGGATGGGGAAACTTCCTTCTCTGTTCAATCCGGGTCCTTGTGTCAACACGCTGCGGCTTCGGAGGCAACTTCCTTCCCGCTCTCTGATCTCATCTTCTCCACCTCTCCCCAGAGGAATCAGAGCTCACGGGGGGAGAAGAAATCCATCCCCGGGCAGGGTCTTGACTAAGGTGACCAGATTTTATTTTATTTTATTTTATTTTATTTTATTTTATTTTATTTTATTTCATTTCATTTTATTTTATTTTATTTTATTTTATTTTATTTTTATTTATTTTTATTATTATTTTAAATATATTTTATTGATTTCTTACAGAGAGGAAGAGAGAGGGACAGAGAGTTAGAAACACCGACGAGAAAGAATCATCGATCAGCTGCCTCCTGTACACTCCCTACTGGGGATGTGCCCGCAACCAAGGTACATGCCCTTGACCAGAATCGAACCCGGGACCTTTCAGTCCGCAGGCCGACGCTCTATCCACTGAGCCAAACTGGTTTTGGCAGGTGACCAGATTTTAATATCGGTAAAGCAGGACACACAGGGGGAGGGGGAGGTTCTTGGTTAAAAAATTTACTATCGGGGAAAGGGAGGGAGGAAGAGACTGAACATAAACTGTGCACCTATGGATGAGGACAATGGGGGATGGGGAGGGGGTGGAGGGTGGGGTGGGAACCTGGTGGAGGGGGGAAGAAATGAGGAACCTTTGTAATAATATGAACAATAAAGATTGATTTAAAAATAAATAAATAAATAAAAATTTGGTCTCTATGGAGCAACAAAAATTTTCATAGAACGCAAAAATAGTATTGTAATATATATATATTTTTAAATTTCAACATAAGTACAATTTTTACAAATGTAATACATAAAAAAAAAATTATGTGTATTCGTGTCACTTTCAAGGCCGGCACTAGACTTTTTGCCGCCACTATAAAATATAAATAATATGAGTACCGTCTGGTCACCTTAGTCTTGACCCAGCTGCCTAGAGTTGCTTCTACCCTCCCTTCTAGGGACCAGGTAAGAAGATCCGTGCGACCACAAGCCCACATTTCCCCTACACCAGTGGTCGGCAAACTCATCAGTCAACGGAGCCAAATATCAACAGTACAACCATTGAAATTTCTTTTGAGAGCTAAGTATTTTAAACTTAAACTTCTTCTAACGCCACTTCTTCAAAATAGACTCACCCAGGACATGGTATTTTGTGGAAGAGCCACACTCAAGGGGCCAAAGAGCCACAAGTGGCTCACGAGCCTCATTTTGCCCACCGCTGAGGTAGGACAAGGGTGAGTTATTTAAAAATAACTCTGAAATTTATTTCAGAGAGGAAGGGAGAGGGAGAGAGAGAAATATCAATGATGAGAATCATTGACTGTTATCTCTGGCATGCCTCCCCACTGGGGATGGAGCCAGCAACTCAGGCATGTGCCCTGGCCAGGAATTGAACCATGACCTCCTGGTTCATAGGTGGATGCTCAACCACTGACCCACACTGGTTGGGCAAGGGTGAGTTTTTTTTTTTTTTTTTTTTTAATTTTTAGTATTTTATCGATTTTTTACAGAGAGGAAGGGAGAGGGATAGAGAGCCAAAAACATCGATGAGATAGAAACATCTATCAGCTGCCTCGGACACATCCCTCATTGGGGATGTGTCTGCAACCAACGTACATGCCCTTGACTGGAACTGAACCTGGGACCCTTCAATCTGTAGGCCTGCGCTCTGCCAACTGAGTCAAAGTGGTGAGTTTTGGACTCATCTTTTCCATCCTGAGAGTTTACCCTTTGCTGTAGCTACAGCCACTAAAGCAGGGCGGGGCGCACGGCTGATGTCCATGAAACATCGGTTGAATGAACGGAGACTCCATTCCAGGCGCTGCCCCCTGTGCTTCTGACCCACACGAACTCCTCCAATCTTCATGTAACAATTCCAGTTCACAGGCAAGCCAACAGGCCCAGAGAGGCCGAGTAACCTTGGCACAATGGGACAGGTGCTGGGTACGGCGGTGAGGGTGCCGGAAGGCCCCAGGGTCACTGGTGGGGACCACACAATTCTTGTTCCCCCTGATGTGTTTGCCCCTGAGAACGAACCTTCTCCAGACCCAGCCGACCTCAGCCACCTGGACCCTCAGCCTGGGTGCCTCAGGCTGCTCCCACGATGTCATAAAGATTTGGGTCTTGCTGAAACCGGCCTGCGGACTGAAAGGTCCCGGGTTCGATTCCAGTCAAGGGCATGTACCTTGGTTGCGGGCACATCCCCAGTGGGGGGTGTGCAGGAGGCAGCTGACTGATGTTTCTCTCCCATCGATGTTTCTAACTCTCTATCCCTCTCTCTTCCTCTCTGTAAAAAATCAATAAAATATATTAAAAAAAAAAAAAAGATTTGGGTCTTTGGTCAGCTTAAGGCCCCAGAGGCCAGGCGGCGGTCTCTTTCCCAGATAGACATGGTGCCAGAGGGAGGCGCTGCCACCACGGGAACTTAGGATCCTGAACAAGCCTGACCCCAGCCCACTAGCTCAGAGTGCCCATGTGTAACTGTGGGGGAGGAGGACACAATACAGTTCATCACTCCCACACCCCCCTTCTCCTTTCTCCCCTCCCCTTTGCTCCTCCCCCTGCCCGCCCAGCCTGTGGAGGCCAAGTTCCCCTTCCAGCCTGGCCACAGTCTCTCCCCCAGCACTTCCTGTTGGGGTGTCCTTAGCTCCACCCCAGAGCTGGGCACTTCCCTCCCTGACACAGGGACCTGGACCCACTCTGCCCGGTGGCCAGAGGCAGACATGGTGCCCCTGCTGCTGCTGCTGCCCCTGCTGTGGGGGGGTGAGTGGGCTCAGAAAGGGGGGCTGGGATGGTGGGGGAGGGGCAGGGGCTGCATCTGAGCCTCTGTATCCCCCTCCGCCAGGGTCCCTGCAGCAGCAGCCAGACTATGAGCTCCGAGTGCAGGATTCAGTGACGGTGCAGGAGGGTCTGTGTGTCCACGTGCCCTGCTCCTTCTCCTTCTCCTTCCCGAGCAGTTTGCGGACTTCCACTGCCCAAGTCTTCACCTACTGGTACCGAGTAGGGGACAGAACAAACCGTGATGCTCCTGTGGCCTCGACCAACCCAAATAAACCAGTGAAGCTGGGGACCAAAGGCCGCTTCCTCCTCGCAGCCCCCATGACCAACAACTGTTCCCTTCAAATCAGAGACGCCAGGAGGAGTGACACAGGACGCTATGTCTTCCGAGTGGAGATAGGATATCCTGTATATAACCAAGAATATTACCAACGATATAACCTTCCAGGATATACTTACCAAGATAAGAAGCTGGATTTGCAGGTGACAGGTAAGGCAGGGGCCCCAGAGAGGACCCAGGGACATGAGACCCCGTCTTAAAGCAGAAACAGGACACTGGACACTCCTGTCCAGGCCTCGGGCCCTGGGTGATGGAAAGAGACACGGGGTGGGGTGAGTTCTGGCCCAAGGTCGGGCCTCTCTCAGGATCCCACTCTGAGTTCCCACCCCTGGAGCCCAGGCACCTGCCTTTCTCCCCCGCAGCCCTGACAGAGAAACCCCACATCCGTATTCCGGAGCCTCTGGAGTCCGGCCGCCTCACAGAGCTGACCTGCAGCCTGCCAGGGACCTGTGAAGGGAGAAAATCTCTCACCTTCTCCTGGGAGGGAACCGCTGTGGACTTGCTGGACCCCCGGAACCTCAGCTCCTCGGTGCTCACCTTCACCCCGAGGCCCCGGGACCATGGCACCAGCCTCACTTGTCAGGTCCAAGTCCAAGGATCTTCGGTGTCCACACAGACAACCATCCGGCTCAATGTCTCCTGTGAGTGATGGAGGGGAGGCTGGGTGCCACGGGGCAGACGGGACCAGAGGGAGGTCTAGTCCTGGGTTCTCTTTCTCAGAGGATTTTGCTGAAGTAAAACTCTCGCCCTCCCACATTGTGGCCCCCGGGGCAAAGGGCAAATGCCCCCTCCTGTCAGCACATTTTCCCTCCCCAGATGCTCCTGTGTTGATGATCAGGCTTTCCCAGGGAAACTGCACAGGTAGGAGCCATTCCCTCCTCTCTGGGGATGAAGGGGTGGGGCCCCCTCTGCCAGCTCAGGCTCAGGGCCTGGAGGTGACACCCTCCTCCCTCGCCCTGCAGCCCCCTGCGGTGGGTCTGTCCCCTGCACCCTCACCAGCCTCTCACACCCAGGAGGCCACCATAGCCTTTGGTTCCTCCCTGTTCCCTTTTTGACATCTAGGTTTACTTTCCCTCAAGGCGAAGCACAAGCCACATGCTATTTATCACTTCCCCCATGTCTAAGGGGGTCGCTCAGCATGGTTACCTCACCTGCAGGCTGTGCAGCCCACGTGCACAATCTCTCCCATCTGGGGGCACTCCCAGTCCCGGCCCCCAACCCCTGGCACCTGCTCACTTCCTGTCTCTACACAGTGACAACCCCAGGCTCTGCTTTGTCCTGTTCCTCTTTCTAGAATTCCCATCTGCCCTCCCTGCTCAGATCCCTGTCCTCCTTCATCTCTGATCCCGTCATTGTCTCCATGAGCCTGCCATGTTCCCATTCCTCACTTTCCTGGGCATGCTCACTGCATCCCAGGTCTCCGCCTAGGGTCTTGTCCCATCTCGACCATCCCTGATGCCCCCCACAGCTTTAGTCCAGCCACAGATCTGCATAAGTAGGCATCTCTCTCTCTCTCTCTCTCTCTCTCTCTCTCTCTCTCTCTCTCTCTTAAATTATTATCACCAGAGGGTATATTTCCATTTGTTTTCAGAGTGAATGGGAGGGAGGGGAAGACCACACACACACACACACACACACACACCCATAAAGAGAGAGAGAGAGAGAGAGAGAGAGAGAGAGAGAGAGAGAGAGAGACATTGTGTAAGAGAGGGTGAGAGAGAAACATTGATGTGAGAGACACACATCAATTAGTTGTCTCCATACCCCTCCTGAGGATGGAACCTGCAAGTCAGGTGCCTGCCCTTGACTGGGAATCGAACGTGCAACCCAATGCTCTAACCACTGAGTGACACTGGCCAGGACGCAATAGGCACCTCTTGCTGGTGCCTTTGGGCCCCACTTAACCCCGTGTGGCCTGACTCACTCTAGATGACTCCCTCTCTCACCAGCCCTGCCCCATCAGCAACTGTAGGAAACCTCACTTCTCACATCACTTTCCTCTTCTGCCTTCCCTGGGCCCTAGACTCCTTCCAGCCTTGTCCTGGACCCGGGGCCCCATGGCCTCAGCCTGCTCCTCAGCCTCCCTGACTGCAGTCTCATTGCTCTGGTGTCGATCCCAGGCAGCCCAGCAGGATCTTCTAGTCTGGGCACCGACCCTCTGCCTCCCTGTGCACAGCTCCCTGCTGCTCTCTAGAGAGCACAGGGCACAGCCCACTGCCCTCAGCGTGGCCCTCGAGGCATCAGACTCTCTGACTCTGCCTCTTCTTCAGCATCATCAAGTGCTTGCTGCTCCTGGGCCTTCTGAGACTTTGCAGGTGTCCGTGCATCTCCTCTCACCTGCTGGGCTCCCTCCATTCTTGAAGCATCTCCACCTGAGGGGCCTGCCCACTTCTCTCCTGTCCACCCTGAGCTCAGTCCCCTTTGTCCTGGGAGCTGGGCCTGACCAGCAGGGTCACTGTCTCTTGAGCCACCTTCTGTGTTCCTCTCTCCAGCCCTGAAGACTGTGAGCAACCACACGTCCCTGTCTGTCCTGGAGGGCCAGTCCCTGCTCCTGGTCTGCGAGGCTGACAGCAACCCCCCTGCCACGCTGAGCTGGTCTCAGGAGGGGAGACCCCTGAGCCTGCCCCAGCCCTTAGCTCCCAGAGTCCTGGAGCTGCCCCGTGTGGGGGCTGGAGACGGAGGGGAGTTCACCTGCCGGGCTCAGCACCCTCTGGGCTCCCAGCATGTCTCCTTCAGCCTCTCTGTGCAGAGTGAGTTGCAGGACAGGTGTGGGGGCTGTGGATGGACTGGGACCCGTACAACACATCACCCATTTCCCGTCATCCCCAGGTAGCCCGCACTCCTGCAGATGTGTGACTGAGGAGCAGCAGGGCTCCTGGCCCTGGGTGATCACCCTGATTAGAGGAGCCCTCATGGGGACTGGCTTCCTCCTCACCTACGTGCTCACCTGGCTCTACTACACCAGGTGAGCAGGCCTGTCTCTCCCGGGGAAGCTCAGGGATTGGCCCTGAGGTCCAGGTGGGGCCGCGCTGTCCGGCTCTGCCTGGAGTGGCCCAGTCTCTGAGCTGACACCTGTGTTGGCCCCGCAGGTGTGGAGACCCCCAGAATGTGATGCAGAGCTCCTGATGGATCCTCCCTTCGTCTCAAGACGGGACTGAAGTGTGGACGCCAGGCTAGAGGGCAGTCCTGAGATGTCAATGTCGCCTTCTCTCTGGAAACTCTTCGCTCACCTGTCTCACATAAACCCCTGGGGTTTCATTTTGTGGAAGTGACTGAGTGACCACAAGGGGAGTCAATGCCATGGAGAGAAGACCTTTATTCCTTTTACCTCCTGAGAGGAGGGGCCCTCTGTGCCTGGGGGAGCCCCGGATTTCCTCAGGAAGCTGATGCAGGTGCAGGGCAGCCTAGCGAAGCCTTTATTGAGGTTTCCACGTGACCATTGATTTTGCTCTGTAGTGTCGGTGGGAGTTTCTTGAGGCCAATTACATCTGGATCTCCTCTCTTTGTTGTTGCTGTTGTTGAACGTGTTTCAAGTAAAGGATTTTGTGTATTCCTTGTCATTATTCGTCAATTGGCATTTATATCTTTTCTTATTTAAAAAATGTTTTTATTAATTTGTGACAGGTAGTTGGAAGGAGAGGAGATAGGAATATCAATGATGAGACAGTCATGGATCGCCTGTTTCCTCCTTTCTCCTACTGGGGTTAAAGCTGTCACCCAGGCATGTGGCCTGACCTGGAATCAAACCATGACTTCCTGGTTTATAGGTTTACATGACACTCAACTCCTGAGCTGCATGTATTCATGAATAATAAAAAAGTGCAATATTTAAAACAATTCGCCTCAGTCACACATCTGCTTTCAGGTATATAATACACTCCCCGCCCCTCCCCCCCAACATTAAGTACAACTTTATTACCATATATTTCTTAAGATCATTCATGGCACATTGCCCCTTAATCCCTAAATATGCAGTTAAAGGTATTTTCAGAAATGACTATGAAACTGAGCTAAAGTAATTCCAGAAGTCAAGTAGATATGAATCTTGGCCAGAGAGCTCCTTAATTTCTCATCTTCTATAAACAGCTTCACAAATCATTTGGAAAATCAGCCTAGATGTACACATAATAAACCACATTTCCTGTCCATTCTTGGAGTTGAACTTTCTCAAGAAATGATTGAACAGCACCTGTCTTTGAAGATGGCAGTAAGGCCTGACCCTAATCAAGCTCTGGTTCTAGATCAGTTTTCTGTGTTGGACTGGTCAGGAGTCACTTCCTCCAGCATCTTCATCAATGAAGTTAAGTGATTATGCGTTAGTATTATCTTCTCTTTTAGCATTCCATTTTGTCACTGGAAAGGCAGAAGTGACCTTTCAAGGCACCCAGGGCAGCATGGGTAGAATACAGATGGAAACCAATGGGAATCTCACAGGAATTACAGAATAAAAGGTTGTAAGTGCTGCCCTTGAGTAAACTTTCGATGCCAACAAGGAAGGGAGCTTCTAGAACAACGTTATTTGTGACCCTGAGAGCCATGGCGCCACGGTCCAGTAGCCATCTTCCGGCCGCCGCCGCCGCCGCCGCCGCCCCGCCGGGATTTCAAACGCCCCGTCTCTCCACTTTGTATTATTATGTTCATATGTCTTACAGTCATACATTTGATAAGCTTTAGAGAACATTCATAATTACTTGGATGTAGACAATTAATTTATTTTCTGGTTTATTGAGATATTTTTTTAAACAGAATATATATAAGCTTAAAGTATGCAATGTGCATATTTGATACACCTACATAGTGAAGAGATTACCTCAAAAAGGTTCATTGACATTTCCATCCTCTCATAACTCCATTGTTATGGTTATTATACTGATGATGTAGAACCATAACAGCTTTCAGGTATATAATACAATCCTCTTCACTGTAGTCATCATGCTGTCCAGTCATCCCCAGGAATTATTTATCTTGTAGCTGAAAGTTACCCTTAACCAACATCTCCCCATTTCCACACCCCCAGCCCTTGCATCACCATTCTACTCTATTTCTGTGAGTTCAGCTTCTTCAGATTCTACTGTGAGAACATACTCCAGGAAAACAATGACTGCTTTCAAAAACAATCCTCACAGTTATGTTTCTCTCATGCAGTTCTAGGTTTCTATCACAAAATCACTTTCCTCTATGCAAAGAGGGACTCAACATGTATTACAGTCCTAAATGTAATACTCACAAGCATAGAACTCTTAGAGGACAACATAGGGGGAAACCACAAGACATTTGTTTTTTGCAATGGTTTCCTGGATATTTACATGAAAATCACAGAACAGGGAAGCAAACATAAGCAAGTGGGACTGTGCCCAACTTCAACACCTGAACACAAGAGGTCACTATCACCAGACTCCAGAGGCCACCTGCAGAATGGCAGAGAAGATTGTATCTGTTAAGGAGTTAATATCCAGCATATATTACAAACTCATACAAGACAACATAAGAAACCCAAATAGCACAATTGAAGAATGGGCCTAAAACTTGAATAGACATTTCTCCAAAGATGATCTATAAGTGGCCATAAAGTCACTAAGAGAAACACAGCATCAGCAATCCTACAGAACTACAAATGGAAGTCCTGGCTGGGTAGCTCAGTTGGTTAGAGTCTTCCTGATATACCCAGTTTGCCAGTTGCATCCCAGTCAGGGCACATACAATTATCAACCAAGGAATGCAAAAGTCAATGACTGTCATGAGAGATCACCTCACACCCCTTAGCATGGCCACTATGAATGGAAACCACAGAAAATAACAAGTGCTGGTGAGTATGTGCAGGAACTGGAACCATTCTGCACCTTTGGTGGGATTGTAAGAGGGTGTACTGGCTACGGAAAAACAACCTGGCATTTCCTAAAAAAAAAAAAAAAAAATTAAAAATAGAATTGCCATATCATGTAACATCCCTTTTTAAGGATATATATCCAAAAGATCTGACAGCAGAACCTGAAAAAGATATTGGCACACTCATATTTGTAGCAGCATTATTCACAATAGTCAAAATCTGTCAGCAACCCAATGTCCATTGGTGAATAAACGCATTAGAAAAGGTCATGGCCAGCCGGGACCGGTTTGGCTCAGTGGATAGAGCGTCAGCCTGCGGACTGGAAGGTCCCGGGTTCGATTCCGGTCAAGGGCATGTACCTTGGTTGCGGGCACATCCCCAGTAGGGGGTGTGCAAGAGGCAGCTGGTCGATGTTTCTCTCTCATCGACGTTTCTAACTCTCTATCCCTCTCTCTTCCCCTCTGTGAAAAATCAATAAAATATATTAAAAAAAAAAAAAAAGAAAAAAGAAAAGAAAAGGTCATGGCCAGCTGGCATGGTTCAGTGTTTGAGTGTCGACCTAGGAACCATTCCATTCCTGGTTGTGGGTCATGGTTCCATTCCTGGTTGTGGGATCCGTTCTGAGTGTGGGGCACGCCAGGGGTGTCTGATGAGTGATTCTCTCTCATTGTTGATGTTTCCATCTCTCATTCTCCCTTCCTCTCTGAAATCAATAAAAACATATTTGACATAAAAGGTCAGATGTCTTAGACTGTTCTGAATATTTTAACAAAAGACTATAGTCTGGTGATTTATAAATAGCAGAAATTTATTGGTCCAAGACCTGGAGGCTGCAAGTCTTTCTCTCCCCTAAACCTCCCTCTCTTCCTCTCTCCCTAAACTCAATGAAAAAAAAAAAAATCCTTGGGTGAGGATTAACAAAAACAACAAAACAAAACAAACAAACAAAAACCAAACACAAAGAAACAAAACAAAAACAATAAAAAAAGGAGAGAAAAAAAGAAAAGAGGGAGACATTTCAAACTCATACAAGACAACAGAAGAAACCCAAATAGCACAATTGAAGAATTGGCTAAACTTTGAATAGACATTTCTCTAAAGATGGTGTCAAATGGCCAACAAAGTCATTAAAAGAGACTCAACATCAGTGATCCTAAAGGACTATAAGAGAACTCCTTAGACCTGTGGGAGTCTTGCTTGGTGTATCAGTGCATTAATATTCAAAGCCCCAAATCAGATTCCTACACGGAGAAGGAAGGAAGGGTGAAGGAGCATAGTAGGCCCGCGGTACAGAAAAAGATGGGGGAAGTGTAGTGATACACAGCTCCAAAGGTCATTCACCCAAATTTTGCATTCATAATTTTATGTCAAAAGTTTCACCCCCACAAAAGTTTGGTCATTAGCTTATTTGGAATATACACAGGCGCACACACACACTTACACACACATGCACGCGCACACACACACTCTCCTCTCCCTGGGATGAATTCTGTGGCCCTTCTTGAATGTGCAAATGGTTGCTTCCTTCCCCCAGTTCTTTCCTGCGGGTTGCTTTAGGATGGGCCTTGTGCTCTGAGGTGAGTCATCCCCTGCCCCCTTGTCTGTCTCTGAGGCCCATCTTGCCTGACACAGGTTATGGGGAAATTTCCTCTTCTGCTTTTCTGACTATACCTTGTGGCTTGGAGGGATGGAGAGAAGAAGAAGAAGAAGAAGAAGAAGAAGAAGAAGAAGAAGAAGAAGAAGAAGAAGAAGAAGAAGAAAGAGAGAGAGAAATATCAATCTAAGGGACAAACATAAATTCGTTGCCTCACATGCTTGCCCTGAGCTGGTATGGAAACAGAGTTATGGTCCCTGACCTGGAATTGAACCTGTAACTAATTTGCTGTAGGGACGATGCTTCCATTAATGGAGCCATTGGCCAGGGCTATCTATTTCCACCTGTAATGTCCTCCCAAACAGATTTGTCTTTCCTCCAATAAGGAAGTACATAGTGTATCTTTGTGACGGGCATCTCTGACTATTTCAGGAACATCCTAAGTTTTGATGTGCCCATGGCCTCTTTCTAACAATCCTGTCTTTCCTTGCTCACTGTGCTGTATGGACGCATTTGAGTTTTGCAATTTGATTTTGTCCTAGAAACCTTTCTGACTCTCTTCTGAAGCCCCTGCATGTATCTGAATGTATTTGTGGATTTTCCTATATAGACACACTCCTTGATGAAGAAAGTCAGCTTTTGTCTTTCAAATTTTCATAGCTTTTACTGATTGTGCTTGCCTTGCTGGACTCGGACCTGGTGCTGCTGGGAGAGGTGTGGTGCTTGCTGAGCACACCCTCTATCCCGCCAGGGGAGCCTCCTGCATCCCTAGCTGACTGTGAGTGTTATCCTGAAGGCCCCAATGTCCCTACTTTCCCCTCTCCCCCTCCTTGCTCATTGGTTCCTCTCTTGAGATTCCATCAGTCAGGCCCAGAGAGGCACACAGAAGCTCCAGCAGTGGGAATGTGATGTCAGGATTTGTTATATCCGGGTTGGAGCACAAATGGAGCAGAAAGGGAGCACCTCTATGAGCCCAGGTGGGGCTCTGAACAGGCACCCACCAATGAGGGGCCATGAAGGTTGAATTTCATGAGCTCTCAGGGGCAACGTTACTGCCATGCTGAGGTTCCCCAAATGGGGCGTCCATTTACGATGGAGTTTGTGTGCCCTCCCTGTCCCTCAGACCCTCGGACCCTTGAAGCCAACACAGGTGCTTCCCATGTCCCCAAGAACCCTCAGAGCAAAGGCCGTTAACACTCAGCTTTGCCTTGGGTTCCCCCCTCCCCTGGACTCGGGTCTAAATTCCTCTCTCTCTTTGCCAGCATTTGGTCTAAAAAAATATGAAAAATTATCCTTTTCCAGAATGTTCAACAGTTTCAGCTCGAGGGTGGGTCCCCTTGAGTCACCAGGACCTGCTCTGAGTGTGCTGGCTCCTGGGTGACCTCCTTCTCTACTTCAACCTCCTCTGCAAGGGGATCACTTCCAGACTGACATTGGACAAGCCACTCCACCTCCTGGGACCTCAGTGCATTTATCTGCTGGGTCAGGTGGGGAAGGGGAGACAGGATGATTTCTCAGCCACCTCAACCCCCATGTACTGTGGAGGCCAAGTTCCCCTTCCTTCTTGGCCACAGTCTCTCCCCCAGGACTTCCTGTTGGGGTGCCTTAGCTCCACCCCAGAGCTGGGCACTTCCTTCCCTGACCCAGGACCTGGACCAGCTCTGCCCAGGCAGAGGCAGACATGGTGCCACTGCTGCTGCTGCCCCTGCTGTGGGGGGGTGAGTGGGCTTAGGGAGGGGGGCTGGGCTGGTGGGGGAGGGGCAGGGGCTGCATCTGAGCCTCTGTGTGCCCCTCCACCAGGGTCCCTTCAGCAGCAGCCAGACTATGAGCTCCGAGTGCAGGATTCGGTGACAGTGCAGGAGGGTCTGTGTGTCCACGTGCCCTGCTCCTTCTCCTTCCCGAGCAGTTTGCGGACTTCCTCTGCCCAAGTCTTCACCTACTGGTACCGAGTAGGGGACAGAACAAACCATGATGCTCCTGTGGCCTCGACCAACCCAAATAAACCAGTGAAGCTGGGGACCAAAGGCCGCTTCCTCCTCGCAGCCTCCATGACCAACAACTGTTCCCTGCAAATCAGAGACGCCAGGAGGAGTGACACAAGACGCTATGTCTTCCGAGTGGAGATAGGATATCCTGAATATAATTTCCAAGGATATCTCCTAAGATATAACTTCCAAGGATATACTTACCAAGATAGGAAGCTGGATTTGCAGGTGACAGGTAAGGCAGGGGCCCCGGAGAGGATCCAGGGACATGGGACCCCATCTTAGGGCAGAAACAAGACACTGGACACTCCTGTCCAGGTCTTGGGCCCTGGGTGATGGAAAGAGACACGGGGTCTGGGGTGAGTTCTGGCCCAAGGTCAGGCCTCTCTCAGGATTACACTCTGAGTCCCCACCCCTGGAGCCCAGGCACCTGCCGTTCTCCCCCGCAGCCCTGACAGAGAAACCCCACATCCATTTTCTGGAGCCTCTGGAGTCCGGCCGCCCCACACAGCTCACCTGCAGCCTGCCAGGGGCCTGCAAAGGGGGACAATCTCTCACCTTCTCCTGGGAGGGAGCCGCTGTGGACTCATTGGACCCTCAGAACCTCCATTCCTCAGTGTTCATCCCAAGTCCCCAGGACCATGGCACCAACCTTACATGTCAGGTCCAAGTCCAAGGATCTTCGGTGGCCACAGAAACAACCATCTGGCTCAATGTCTCCTGTGAGCTTTGGAGGGGTGGGCTGGGTCCATGGGAGTAGTGGGGTGGCGTGTGTGTTGGTGTGTGTGTGTGTGTTGGTCTGTATGTGTGTGTGTTTGTGTGTTTGTGTGTGTGTGTGTTGGTCTGTGTGTGTGTGTGTGTGTGTGTGTGTGTGTGTGTGTGGAGGCTAAGGTAACCTGAGAACACTCATGCATGGATCTGCATGTAGGTGTGGAGTGGGCCAGGTGGACCGCTTTCCCCCATTCCCGGTTCCACTACCCTTCCTTGGGATTGGGGTGACTTCCATCTGAAGTGGGGCCCTGTCTCTCTCTCCCAGATGCTCCTCAGAAGCTCACCATAGGCTTCTCCTTTGGAAACGACACAGGTAGGCAAGAACCCCTCCTCTCTGGGCTGGGACCTGCCCGGTGCCCTGGTGGGGCAGAGGGGGGAGCAGGAGTTTGAATGGGATCAGACATGGGAAGGGCATGGATGGAAGTCATCACCCCTCTGGTAAGTGCCTCACCTGTGTTCCACCTCTCTCTCTCTCTCTCTCTCTCTCTCTCTCTCTCTCTCTGTCTCTCTCTCTCTCCTTCCCTCCCTCAAAATTTTTCTCCTCAAAGCCTTTAAGAATCTGCAAAACACATCCCTTTCCATCCTGGAGGGAGAGGCCTTGAGGCTGCGCTGTATGGCTGACAGCAACCCCCCTGCCAATCTGAGCTGGTTCCAGGGATCCCCAGGCCTGAACTCCACCCCCATTTCCACCACCGGGATCCTGGAGCTGCCTCACGTGGGGCCTGCACAAGAAGGAGAGTTCACCTGCCAAGCCCAGCACCCGCTGGGCTCCCAAAACATCTCTCTCAACCTCTCCGTGGCCTGTGAGTGGGGAGACCCCAGAGGGCAGGGCAGCTGGGTTCCGGGGAGATGAAAGCCACCACTGACCCCCTCTCCTCACTCCTCACAGACCCCCCACAGCTTCTGGGACCCTCCTGCTTCTGGGGGGACCAGGCTCTGCACTGCAGCTGCTCCTCCAAGGCCCAGCCGGCCCCCTCCATGCGCTGGAGGCTGGACAAGGGACTGCTGGAGGGGAACCATAGCAATGCCTCTCATGTGGTCACCTCCAGCTCAGTGGGGCCCTGGACCAACAGCTCCCTGAGCCTCCGTGTGGGTCTCAGTGAGGGACTCAGACTCAGCTGTGAGGCCTCGAACATGCACTGGGCCCGGAGCGCCTCTCTCTTGCTGCTGCCAGGTCAGGGGTCTTATTGGGGGCAGAATCTTTGGGTGAAAGGAGTGGGTCAAGTATAACGTGGAGCTGGGGGAGAAGGGCTGTGGCTTGGGCAGGAGGGATTGCTAGGACAGGGCCCTCCATCTCTTGCCCCCCACCCTCCAATATTTTTATTGATTTCAGAAAGGGAGAAGGAGAGAGCAATAGAAACATCCATGATGAGAGAGTATCATTGATTAGCTGCCTCCTGCAGCCCCCGTCCCCCACTGAGTATTGAGCCCACAACATGTGCTCTTGACCAGGGATCGAACCAGGATCTCCTGGTTCATAGGTTGACGCTCATCCACTGAGCTAAGCTAGGCTCTGGTTGAGCAGAACCTACAGCCGGTTCTTGGAGGAGGAGGGAAGAGGAGAGACCAAGTCCTGGGAATGGGTGTCTCATGCCCCTCTCCTCTGCAGGGAAGGCGGTGTCCCAGGCAGGAGTTGTTCCTGCGGCTCTTGGTGGTGCTGGTGCCATGGCCCTGCTGTCCCTGTGCTTGTGTCTCATCTTCTTTTGCATGTAAGCCTCTGTGGGGGGGAGCCATGTCCTGGGGGTTTGGAAAAGGTCATGGAATTTCACCAACACAAAGCTTAGTACCTCCCGGGGGGAGGAGGAGAGGGGAAACTGCTTTATGGAGGTAAAACTCTGATGTATTTAAAGTGTACAGTTCAATGGCTTTTATTTCAGTCACACAGCTGGGCACCCATCACCGCGGTCACAGTTTGAAACGTTTTCACTAGCCTGAAAAAGAAAAGAAAAAAAAGAGAGAGAGAGAGAGAGAGAGAGAAACTCACAACCCTGTATTTTCATCTTTCTCTACCTCCCCAGCCCCAGGCAACCAGTATTTCTTGATTCTCTAGATTTGGCCATTCTGACATTTCATAGAAATGCAATGCTATAATACATGTTTATTGTGACTGACCTCTTTCATATAGCCTGAGATTTTCAAGGTTCATGTGTCAGCACTTTATTCCTTTTTATTTACAAATACACTGAGTGGCCAGATTATTGTGTTCTTTGAATGCATTAAGGTGGCCACTTAGTGTGTGTGTTAGAGGCCCAGTGCATGAATTTGTGCATGGGTGGGGTCCGGCCAGCCTGGCCAGGAGGAGGGGATAGAGGTGGTTGGCCGGCCTGCCTGCTGGTGGAAATCCTGAGGGAGGGGACAATTTCCGTAGTAGCTTTTCATTATATAGGATATAATGAGTGGCCAGATTATTGTGCATTCAGAGATCATCATAATCTGGCCATTCAATGTATACATCCATGATATGGATGGGGCATATTTTATTTGTCCATTTCTTCATTGATGGACATTTGGGTCGCTTGGACTTTTTGGCTACCATGAATTACACTGATGATGGCTCATGCACAAGTCTCTGCATGTGAGAGGGGCCTTGGTGATGAACATTCAGTCTTGGCTAAGCGCCTGGATATTTCAGGGGGATGAGGTCCTCATCTGCATGTCAGGAGTGTTTCCGTGTCTGGTCTCAGGGTCTGGATGCCTCTGTTGTCCATCAGGGAGTGGGGGCAGCTGCCCACCTGTGCCTGAGCCATTCTAGCTACTGACTTCTTCCCTTAGAGTGAAAGCCCGCAGGGGACAAGCCGCTGGGAGACCAAAGGTCACGAATGCTGAAGACCCGGTCATGGGCACAGTCACCTGGGTGAGTGACATGGGTATCTTCTCATGCCATGTAGGGGAGCCTGGGCATGTCCATTCAAGGAGTCCACACTGGGCTTCTCTGCAGTTCACTTTTCTGTGGGCGACTGGACAGGCAGCTGGGAGTTGACTTCCCCTTTATTTCCCGGAACCCATGATCAGCCTCCTGCCCCAGCCACACTGACCACTGAGCCCACCTCACCTCTCTGATAGGCCCAGGCTGCCAGAACCACCTCCCCAAAACGTGTACTTTCTACCCATTGTGGGCATGTTCCTTCACCTCCCTTTACAGCAGTTTCTCTATGTGTAAGTGGGGATAACAAGAGTATCATGCTTACTGGGTTTCTGAGAGAATGAAATATGATTAGTAGGCCTTTGATATGGTCTAACCAACATCTGCAATACTCTAATAAAATGAAAAAGAAAAACAGGCTTGAGTTGGAAGGAGTATGGTCTTCGAGATGCAAGTCCACCATTCTCCTAGGTTGCAGTGCCTGAATAAGTTTCTTTCATTTCACACCCAAAGAGCGAATCCCCCCAAAAAACAAACAAAAGAAAACTCTTTTAATGAATGAGCAAATAGTCGAGTCTATGAGAAGTGTATGTGCCATAAGAAGATGAATGACCAAACTGTTCCATCAGCCCAACTTTCTTTGGGACCATGTCTGCCTCATTCCTCTCTGACGCCCTTCTCTCCCCTTCACTCAGGGTTCTAAGAAAACTCTGCAGCCAGATGGGCCCCCAGACCAAGCGTCACCTGCAGAGAAGGGCTCTCTGTCAGGGGAGCAACAGGAGCTCCACTACGCCAACCTCACCTTTGAAGGCATGAAGCCACGGGAGCCCCGGGACCAGGAGGCCACCAGCACCCACGAGTACTCAGAGATCAAGCACACAGGCAAATGAGGAATCCCTCTGAGCTAGGTCCTGGCCAGAGGAACCAAAGCCACTTGAGAAGGGGAAAGAAGTCCAGGACTCATGGCTGAAGCATGAATAGACCTGTGGCCTGATTAACATGAACGAGTGGATGAGCATCGCCAGGCAGAGAGCATAAGGAAGACTGGTGATGGGCCAGCTCTCTCCCATTCACCTGCACCTGTGCTTCAGGTGAGCTGCTCCGTGACACAGTCTCTCACCCTCACCCTCCCTCCAGAATGTCACTTCCTGGATCTTCGCACATTGTCTAAGGTGGTCTGGGTTTGCTAACAAATCCCATTTTCTCATAGTTCTCTGGGTGGCTGTCTCCCGGATTAAACCCCGACTGATGAGCAATGACAAATTACACAGACTGCAATGTAGACCCTGGGTAGTCTCCTCCTCCTCCTCCAGGTGTATTTCCTGTGGCCTGTAGCAGGTGGGTCACTACAATCCCATCAAGGACTGAGGGAATTCAAAACCAGGTTTCTGGCCCTATTGCAGCTCATCTATTTCTTAGTCTTAACCACAAGATGACGATGTTTATGGGGGCGCCTCCGCCTTGGCAAGATCTCTTTTTGGGCCCCATGAGATTCTTTCTTTTTTTCTTCTTCCACCTTTTTATTGATTTCAGAGAAGAAGGGAGAGGGAGAGAGAGATAGAAACATCAATGATGAGAGAGAATCATTGGTCCTATGCCTGCTTCGTGCCCCCTACCAGAGACTGAGATTGTAATCGGGTATATGCCCTTGACGTGAATCAAACCCAGGACCCTTCAGCCCCCAATCCCATGCTCTATCTGCTGAGCCAAACTGGCTATGCCTCCATGAGATTCTTGAATGTTCTACCTAGCTTCTCTGTGACTGCTCAGAGTCAGCAGTCTATTTGAATAAAAAAGTGGCTCCAAATACTTGTCTCATTGCCGTTGACTTCTTGCTTCTTCCATCTTCACTGTGTGAATTTTCTTTTTGTTGACTCCAAACATTAAAAAAAAAATTATCCACCTTTCAAAGTCTTCCCACCCCCCAACTTGGCCCACCTTGCTCTGTTCTTTTTTTTTTATTTTTTTATTAATATGTTAGTGCTCATCTTGAGGATACAAGAGGAGCCTTATAAATATATATATTTTAAACATTTTTTATTGATTTTTCACAAAGAGAAAGAGAGAGGGATAGAGAGTTAGAAACATCGATAAGAGAGAATCATTGATCAGCTGCCTCTTGCACACCCCCAACTGGGGATGTGCCCGCAACCAAGGTACATGCCCTTGCCCGGAATCGAACCCGGGACCTTTTAGTCCGCAGGCCGACGCTCTATCCACTGAGCCAAACCGGTCCCGACCCTTGCTCTGTTCTTAAGGACAACTATCTCATGCTGTGGTCCACTAAGGCCACAGAATCATTTCCACACTCTGAATATTTAAACTTTATGTAGAATAAGTTAAAATTTAGAATTTATTTGCGTGACCTATCAGCTCCAAATACAATTTCTCAACACAACTTCAGCTACTGCTTTTTCACTTCAGCTGGCGACATGGACTTGGAATTCTTCCAGGCACAGATAAGGCTCGCTGATCACGTTTTGCATTGTCCAGAGCTCTGTGACAGTACCAGAAACGTTTAAAAGCACAATAATAAGGAAGAAGTAAGGGAAGGGGAGGAGTCTGACAGATTTTCTGGAGGGGATGAGGGGCAAAGGACCCAATGACCTCAAGAAATGCATGTGTCTGTGTAGCTGTCTCCTCTTCGCTAGGATGAAGGTGGTTCTCAGGAGGAGTTCGGCTGCACATCTGTCCCAAAGGACAGAATGTCACCAGCCTCATTCCCCAGCCTTTCCTCCACAGGAGACAGAGCAAGGCTTGACCTCCAGGGGGCGATCCATCCAGCTGGGGAGCTGTTGTTCAGAGGGTTGGCGCTATCCATGGTTCTGGAGCACATCTAGGTTCAGCTCTGCCAAGGTCCCCAACTCACAAGGTCAAGGTCTCCAGCCTTAGGCCATCAGGGCAGCTAAGCCCGAGGGGCTTTGGAAAGGCTGGGCTCCTCTTGGGAAGGAACAATAAGGAGAAGGGGTGGGAGTGGGCTGGGCTCATCTCTGTGCTTTTTCTCTCACCTCTCTGGTTGCCTTCTTGTTTTGAACTAAGATTCCATTTAGCATTTGCCACCAAAATGTCCCCAAAAGAGGAAGTTCCCCCAATGAATTGCTACATGTCTTAGGGGATCTACTAAGTAGGTCAGGCCATCACTAGGAATTAAAATATCAGTGTGATCTAAAGAGAAGTGTAATGTTTGCAGAAGGCAAGGCCAGTAAAGGAGAAGCAGGGGGCTGGGGAGGAAGCCGGGCATGAAGAGGAAGAATGGGCCCTAGCTGGTTTTGTTCAATGGATAGAGTCTTGGCCTGGGGACCAAGACGTCCTAGGTTTGATTGCAGTCAAGAGCATGTGCCTGGATTGCAGGCTCCATCCCCAGTTGGAGTTGTGCAGGTGACAGCCAATCAATGGTTCTTTCTCATCTTTGATGTTTCTATCTCTCTGTTTCTCCCTTCCTCTCTGAAATCAATAAATATATATTTTTTAAAAGAGGAAGAACGGGAAGACACAGGTAATAACAAGAAGAAATATTGATCATATGCATATATTGTGCATAGGCTGAAAAGACTGTTAGCTGTTTGCATGTTTTCTCACTGGCACCAGCAATATAGGAATTCACCTAACACAGTAAACTCTATTTGTGGGGAGATGACGCTTTTGAAACATTTATAAATACATTTGAACAGGTACCTTGGTTACAGGTTTCCTGTCTCTGGTAGGGGAATGAGAGGCAATCCATCACTGTGTCTCTCTCACATTGATGTTTGCCTTGGATATGCATTATGCTAGGTGCTGGAGATTTCAAATGGCCTAAGCAGCGCTGGTCAGGCTAAGTTGGTGGGAACATCGTTCTCTGTATAAAAAGGTTATGGGTTTAATTCCCAATTAGTGAATATACCTAGGTTTTTTTTTTTTTTAATATTTTAATTGATTTTTTACAGAGAGGAAGGGAGAGAGATAGAGAGCTAGAAACGTCGATGAGAGAGAAACACCGACCATATGCCTCTTGCACACCCCCCACTGGGGATGTACCCACAACCAATGTACATGCCCCTAACCGGAATTGAACCCGGGACCCTTCAGTCCGCAGACCGACGCTCTACCACTGAGCCAATCCGGTTATGGCTAGGTTTGGGGTTTGATAACCCAGTTGGGCCATGCATAGGAGGTAACCAATTGCTGTTTCTTACTCAGTTCAATGCCTCAATCTTTCTCTCTCCCTCATTTCTCCTTAAAAACCTACATAAGATCTGAAGAACAAAATAACTGATGAACAAAATAGGACCAGAGGAATGGATAAATGGAACAAAATGACAGAACTGGGAGGGTATGAGGGCAGAGAGGAAGTAAAGGGATTAACCGAAGAATATATATGTACATATATGCCTAGCCCACTGGTTGGCCAACTCATTAGTCAATAGAGCCAAATATCAACAGTACAATGATTGAAATTTCTTTTGAGAGCCAAATTTTTGAAACCTAAACTATATAGCTAGGTATATTGTTCTTCACTTAATTAGGGTACTTCTACGCTGGCCTTTGCTAAACATTCAATGGGCCAAAGAGCTGCATGTGACTCCAGAGTGGCAGTTTTCCAACCACTGGCCTAGCCCAGAGACACAGAAAATAATGCGGTGACGCCATAGGTTGATGGGTGTAGGGTGTACGGAGGCAAGGGCAGGAGGTATATCTGGAATAGAGTCAACAGAAAAGAAAAAAAAAGCTTATCCTCAGGTGAGTCAGCCACACTGTAAAGGAACATTGAAGACACAGGTTTGTTATAATGGTTCTCCTCCTCCTTTTCCACCAGTTGCGCTTTCCATGGTTTCTGTAACCCAGGATCAACCATGGTCCGATAATAATGTCAGGCACTTACAATAATCAAAAGAATTTTTGTGCATTGCAGAAATAAACAATTCATAAGTTTTGAAATGTTCTGAATTGTATTATGATTCTCACACTCCTTGTCTGTCCTGATAAAAGATGAACCAGGCCTTTGTGTGATGTCTCCATTATGTATATACCACCCACTTGTTAGTCACTGAGTAGCTGTCGAGGTTATCTGATCAGCTGTCCTGACGTTGTGGTGCTTGTGTTGAAGTCACTGTTATAGTAGCCCAAGGCTACGGCACAATCCCTACGTCAATCACCGCCCTCCAGCCCATCATCTCACATGGTGTGTCATCTCACATCAGTGCAGGCAGGAGGGTGAGTACAGTACCAGGAGATATTTGGAGAGAGGAGAGACCTCATTGACATAACCTTCATTACAGCATATGTGTCATAAATCTTCTATTATATTATTCGTTATTATTGTTCATGTCTAATTTACACATCAAAATCTATTTTTGGTGTGTATAGGGGGAAATCATACTATCTATAAGGTTTGGTACCCTCTGCAGTTTAAAGCATCCCCTGGGGATCTTGGGGTATATCTCCCAGGAAGAAGGGGGTCAATTGTACTTACAAGTCCTGGAGGACACACAACACACCGAGAGCCCCTCAGAAGGTAGAGAGACAGAAAGGACGTAGAGTCCAGCCTCTATTGGGGTGGAGATTGTGGTGCTTAGGGTGTTGCAAGTTCCCTATTGGTGTACTTCAAACATAGGAGCAGGAATTCAAGTTCAGGAAGGGAAAAGCAGGGTCACTCAAGTGGTGTTATCTAGGCCACCCAGAGCTTTCTCAAAAGGAACTTCATGCCTTAGCCGGTTGGGCTCATTGGATAGATTTTTGGCCCAGAGACTGAAGGGTCCTGGGTTCACTTGTTGTCAAGGGCAGGTACCTTGGTTACAGGTTTCCTGTCCCTGGTAGGGGTGTGAGAGGCAATCCATCACTGTGTCTCTCTCACATTGATGTTTCCCTTTGTCTCTCCATTTCCCTTCCACTCTCTCTAAAAAATCCATGGAAAACTATCCTCAGGTGAGGGTTAACAAAGAACAATGAAAAAGCGAACTTCATTGGAGGGGCAACCCGACTATTTATCTAGTTGGCAATATGGATGCCTTTGAATAAATGCCTTGGCAACCAATAGCTTAATGTCAGGCATTTACAATAAAAGGAATTTATTGTGCCTTGTCCAGTGTGGCTCAGTTGGTTGCGGCATTGTCTCTAGTACACCAGAAGGTTGGGGGTTCGATTCCTGGTCAAGGCACTTACTTGAGTTTCAGCTTAGATTCTCAGTCGGGGCATGTATGGAAGACAACCAACTGATGTTTCTCTCTCACATCAATCTTTCTCTCTCTCTCTCTCTCTCTCTCTCTCTCTCTCTCTCTCTCTCTCTCTTCCTTTCTTCCCCTCTTTATAAAAAAATCAATGAATTCTCCTTGGATGAGGATTAAAAAATGTTTATTGTTAGGCACTTATGCTAGCTACAGTATTGCTGGTGAGTTTTGGCTGCATTTATTTTTAGAACTTTCTTTTAAAAAATTAATTAGTTCAACTATCGAGGAGAAAGAATGCGCACCCTTTCTTCAGTCCACCCTCTCAATTCAAGTCTGTCCAAGCATTCAGGTTTGAAGACAAGCAGGTGTGCACCAGATGAAAGCAAGCAAGGGGGCCCCCATTCGATAGGTCTCAAATGAACAATTTCTGTAGGAACCGGCATGGAGGATTTAAGGAAAAAGGCCATGGGGAGAGGCTGGGTGAGTAGATAAATGCCAGGGGAAGGTGCCTGTATGGTCTAAATGGAGGGAGCCGGGAAGGGGTGTGTGGAGGAGAGAGTCAGGGTCAGCTCTCTGGCTTGTCCAACTGTGCCACCCACACAGGAATCGAGGACCTGTGGGAGGCGCTGTCTTGCACCCTGCAAAGCTGAGAGCCCTACAGGAAACACTCTATGGTTAAAACAGAGCTCTATGGTCCTTTCAGCCCCGCCCCTTAACTTCCTTTTCCCCTCTGAAAAGGGCTTCCTTCGGAACTCTCCCTTGTTCAATGTGTGCACATGGCTCGCCATAACAAGGCAAACCCTTTCCTTTTGCATGAATAAGTCTATTTGTAAGAGGCATCTCCCACCAGCACCAGACAGATTAGCGGACGGTCCCCTGAATCAGTGTTTCTGACTTGCATCTATTCCTCCTCCTGTAAATGAATTTGTACCAAAGGCTTTGCGTTGTGAAAAGCCGATTTATTAAAGCATTTATAGCATGCACATTCATTGAAAAGGCAAAGCACTCAAACCTATCTCATTTTATCAGGCTTGGAGCACAGATGGGCTTTTCTGGCTAATTTAGAAAAGGGAGCCAGTCTGAGGCTTTGTACACCCTCCTGTCTATACGTTTCAAAATTCCGTCGCTGACTATTTTGGTACAGATTCATTCTCAAAGTCGCCTTTTAACGTTGTAGTGGCCTTCCCAGAATTCATTAGAAGGACTAGCAGGTTTATCTTCCAAGCCTTGAGACTGCAGGCTTCTTAAACAGTAATACTATCCTTCTTTTTCTTTCCCATTCCCCTCTCTTTCTGCATGTGCTCTTTAGGAAGACTTTTTAACCATTTTCGCTGGTGTGTTTGGCTGGAGAAGGTATTGGCTTGTTAGTTACAAGCTGGCTGCAAATTGCCCACAATGTTTGGCCTCCTTTAAAATTCCTGCCTCAGTTTCCCATTTCATCCTTGCCCTGGAATCCTGTACCATTTTTGGTGATGTAATACCTGGTCAACATTGTGTATGGTCCCCAAACTGTTGGCAAGATCCCTGTGGGGCCGTTATATGGAACAAGAAAGGGCCTGGTGGTCAGTAGGTGCTGGGAGAACGAACAGGTAAAAGTGAGGCGAGATGATCCCAGAGAGGTGATAAGAAACAATTTCATGAACCGAATTCCAAGTCAGGAGGGTGGGCTCTCCCAGGGAGGCTTTGAAGCATTCTGGGATGAAAAATGACACCAACAAGCTGTCCCCCTCTCCGCTGTGCCCGGTCACCCCTGGCTTCAGGAGCCCTTGCCAGCAGGACCTTCCTGTTCAAAAAGAGACCAGCCAGTCCTGGACACACCTCTGTGACGAAACCTCTGTTGGTGGATGTCCATGTTCCAATATATTTAATGCACACAACCAGCTTTGAGCAGAATGCATGGCCTCCACATAGAATGGGACACTGAGCAACAGAGAAACGAGGTGAATCGCCACCTGATGACCCTGCCTTGATGGTGGTTGCCAACCTTTCGAACCTCATGGACCACCAGTTGGTGACCACTGCCTTAGGATTTGCCAAAGCCTGTCTTTGAAACCACATCTCTGTTATCCCGTCACCTGTCTTCTTTCTGCTCTGCTCATACAGTAGTTAATGTTCATCGTGCCACAAGGTCTGCTCATGCTTCAGCAATGAGTCCTCGATTTCTTTCCCACAGAGGATCTGCAATGCCTCTGGCCAGGTCCGAGCTCTGAGGGAGTTCTCATGAGCTTGTCTTCTAAATCTCTGAGTACTCATTGATGCTGCCGTTAGCATCCGGGTCCTCAGGTTCCTGTGGCTTCATGCCGTGAAAGCTGAGGTTGCCGTAGTAGACTTCCCACTGTTCCTCTGACAGAGGGGGACCCTCTGTGGGCAACCCTTGGTTTGGGGGCTTGTCTAGCCCAGGTTTTCGCTTGGAACCCTGAGTGAAGGAGAGAGTAGGGAGTCAGAGGAGTATAAGACAGCCTGGTCCCAGGGGGAAGTTGGGCTGATGGAACAGTTTTTCAGTCATCCTCTTATTCCACACACATGTCTTATAAACTCAAGTATTTACCCATTTGGTTAAATTCTGTAGTACTACAAATGATTAGACCATAGGGAGGGCCTACTGATCACATTTCATCCTCAGAGAAACCCAGTAAGGATGATACCCTTATTCCCATTTCCAGATGGGGAAACTGAGGTGAGGAGAGGTGAAGGAACATGCCCACAATGGGTAGAAAGTAATAGTTTTTGGGGAGATGGTTCTGGCAGCCTGGGCCTCTCAGAGAGGTGAGGTGGGCTCAGTGATCAGCAGGCCTGAGGCAGGAGGCTGACCATGGGTTCTGGGAAATGAAGGGGAGAAGTCAACTCTCTGCTGCCTGTCCATCTGGCCACAGAGGAGCGGGTGTGGGGGACTGTGGAGGAGTTCAGTGTGGACTCCTTGAATGGGCATGCCCAGCCCCCGTACACGGCATGAGAAGACACCCTCATCACTCACCCAGGTGACTGTGCCCATGACAAGTTCTTCATCATCCGTGACCTTTGGTCTCCCAGCTGCTTGCCTCCTGTGGGCTTTCACTCTAAGGGAAGAAGTCAGCAGCTAGAATGGCTCAAGCACAGGTGGGCAGCTGCCCTCACTCTCTGATGGACAACAGAGGCATCCAGACCCTGAGGCCAGACTCAGAGAAACTCCTGACATGTAGGTGAGGACCCTGTACCCTGGATGGCGTAGGAGTTTGGCCAAGAAGGAATGTTCATCACCAAGGCCCCTCTCACATGCAGAGACTTGTACACGAGCCATCATCAGTGTAATTCATGGTAGCCAAAAGGTCCAAGCAACCCAAATGTCCATCAGTGGAGGAATGGACAGGTAAAATGTGCCCCATTCATATGGAATATGGAATATCTGTACTAATAAGTAACATGCTAATTAGACTGCATGTCTTCTGGATGTCTGTCCAGACAAAGCAGCAGCTGCTACGAGTGTCTGCGTCCCGGGAGAGGTGGCAGTGTGGGCTGGTCCAGCACCACAGCCCTTTCCGCAGAGGCTGAGGGAGAGGGGGCTGTGAGGTCCTGGTCCCAGTGTTGCCTCTTCTGCAGAGGAAGCCACAGAGGCAGCTGCCTGGGCCAGTCCCGACCCTATGCCTTTGCAGAGGCTGGACAATGTGCAACCTGCTGTGCCTCCAACTCCAAAACCCTCCCTGAGATGGCATGGCCTGGCCCCAGATTGCTGGTGGGGCCAGTACTAAGAAGCCAGGGCCGAGGGCCTGCAGCTGTGGTGGCCTGCTGTGGCACCAGCAGTGGGGTGTTGTGTTGGTTCCTTCCTCTGATTGGCCCAGTTGGAGATCACTAGGCCATCCCCTGAGGCATCTGGACTGTGAGAAGGGGCAGGCTGGGCTGAGGGACCCTGTGACCCTGTGCACAAATATTCATGTCCCCCGCTTTTAGTAGCCTATCTAATAAAGAGGGAATATGCTAATTGACTGTCACACCCTCACAAAGATGGTGGCACCCCACAGCCAATAAGAAGTGAATATGCTCATTGACTGTCATGCCTTCAAAGATGGCAGCACTCACAGCCACAAGATGGTGGCATCCAGTCCCCTCAGCCCTGCCAGGACAGCAGGTGTGTGGCAGGGCTGGTCCTGCCCCCAGGTGGGTCCTGCTGCTCCACATGTCTGCCTCTGGAGCCCCCCAGTTCCCTCAGCCCCCCATCTACCTAGGGCTGGCCCAAGGCACAGGCAAGCCTCAGATGGTAGCTGCCCAGCCACCCAGGACCCCCGTGGCTCAGGTAACCAGGGCCGGCTGATGCTGGTGCTGCTGGCAGTGGCAGCAGCAGAGGTGTGATGAAGGGCATCACCTTCCACTGGTTGCCAAGTCACCTCCCACCCCTGGGGGCTCCGAGACTGTGAGAGGAACAGGCCAGGTTTAGGGACCCTCGTTCCAGTGCATGAATTTTCATGTACCAGGCTTCTAGTTTATAAAAAAACAAAAACAAAAACAAAAAAACAATACAGTGCTGACACATGAATCTTAAAAATCTCAGGCTATGTGAATGAAATCAGTCACAAAAATATGTATCATATAATTGCATTTAAATGAAAGATCAAAATGGGCAAGTCTAGAGAAACAAGAAACAGTGATTGCTTAGAGCTGGGGGAGGATGAAGGCTGATAACTATTAATGGATGCGGAATTTCTATTTTATTTTACTTTTTAAATCCTCAGCTGAGGATATTTTCTTCCCATTGATTTTTAGAGAAAATAGAAGTGAGGGAGGATGGGAAGAGGTAGAAAAGAGAAATAAAGAAATGTTGATGTGAGAGAGAGATGAATTTGTTGTCTCCGGCATATGCTCAAACCAGGGTCAGGGAACAAAAGTACAATGCAGAAATGCCCTTGATCAGAAACCAACACCCAGGATTCTTAGCTCACAGTCTGACACTCTAACCAATGAGAAACACCTGCCAGGGCTAGTGTTTCTTTGTTTTCATTTTGAGCCAATGAAAAAACTCTTTGAAATTGATTGTGGTGTTGGGTGTACAGCTCTGACCGAACTAAGGTCACTGAGCTTAACACTTCAAAGACATGGAAATGTTACCTTAAAAAAGTGGCTACTCCTCACTCCGCAAAAATGTCTCCTTTCGATGTACTAAGCTCTGATTTTGCAAAAGTCAATGACATCTCTCGGCACTCCCTACCACACAGCTCCCCGCACCTCCCCGGCACAGAGGCTTACCTGCAGAAGGAGATGAGACACAAGCACAGGGACAGCAGGGCCAGGGCTCCAGCAACTCCAAGAGCCACTCCCACCTGGAAAACTGATTTCTCTGCAGAGAAGAGGGGCATGAGACACCCTCTACCAAGACTCGGTCTCTCCTCTTCCCACCTCCAACCATAACCCGCTGTGGGTTCATTCAGGCAGGAGATGCAGGCCCTGTGCCAGCAGTAACTCCTGTCCAGGCCACAGCCCTCCCTCCCAGCTCCACCTGCTCTCTGACCCACTCCTTTCTCCGTGGTGGCCTCTGCCCCCAGCAGGCCCTGACCTGGCAGCAGCAGGATCGAGGCCCTGTGGGCCCCGTGCACATTCCGGGCCTCGCAGCTGAGTCTGAGCTCAGGGCTGAGCCCCAAGTGGAGGCTCAGGGAACTGTTGGTCCAGGGCCCCTCTGAGCTGGAGGTGACCACGTGGGTGGCATTGCCATTGTTCCCCTCCAGCAGCCCCGCCCCCAGCCTCCAACGCAGGGAGGGGGCTGGCTGGGCCCTGGCAGAGCAGCTGCAGTGCAGACCCTGGTCCTCCCAGAAGCAGGAGGGTCCCAGCAGCTGTGGGGGATCTGTGGGGAGTAAGGAAAAATGGTCAGTGGTGGCTTTAATCTCCCCAGAACCCACCTGTCCTGTCCCCTAGGATCTCCCCACTCACAGACCACGAAGAGGCTGAGAGAGACATTTTGGGAGCCCAGTGGGTGCTGAGCTTGGCAGGTGAAGTCCCCTTCCTGTGCTGGCCCCACGCGAGGCAGCTCCAGGATGGCGGTCCTGGAGATGGGGGTGGCATTCAGGCCTGGGGATCCCCAGAACCAGCTCAGTTCGGCAGGGGGGTTGCTGTCAGTCATACAGAGCAGCCTTAGGGTCTCTCCTTCCAGGATGGTAAGGGAAGTGGCCTGCAGAACCTTGAAGGCTTTGGGTAGAGAAATGAAGACAAGGAGAGGGAGAGGGACTTGGGGTAGGGGCAGTGGAACACAGGAATAGGCACCCACCAATAGGATGTAAGCAAGGAAGCTCTAATTTATAAAAATATATATATTTTATTGATTTTTTACAGAGAGGAAAGGAAACGGATAGAGAGCTAGAAACATCAATGAGAGAGAAACATTGATGAGAGAGAAACATCGACTAGCTGCCTCCTGCACACCCCCTACCAGGGATGTGTCCACAACCAAGGTACATGCCCTTGACTGGAATTGAACCTGGGACCCTTCAGTCCACAGTCCGATGCTCTATCCACTGAGCCAAACCAGTTTTGGCAGAAGATCTAATTTTAGTCCTTGCCCTTCCAAGACTGGTCCCATTCAAACTCAGATTCCCCCCTCTGCTCCACCATGGTAAGGAGGATAGTTCCTGGCCCAGAGACACGAGGTTCTTTTTTGTGACATTTCTTTTTAAAAAATATGCTTTTATTGATTTTTAGAGAGAAAGATGAAGGGAGAGGGATAGAGAGATGGAAACATGGATGAGAAACATTATCAATAGGCTATCTCCTGCACGCCCCCTAGTGGGGATAGAGTCTGAAACCAGGCATGTGCCGTGACAGATTCTAACCTGTGACCTCTTGGTTCCTGGGTCGAAGCTCAACCTCTGAGCCACACTGGCCAGGCCTAGCTGTGGCATTTCTGAAGGTGACGCCTATGGTGAGGTTCTGTGGGGCATCTGGGATAGAAAAATATGGCCCCAGTTCAGAGGGGAGGAGTGGGATGGGAGACACCCCTAACACCAACGATGGGCGGTGGGAACCAGAAAGGTGGGAGTGCTGTCCTTCTGGCCCACTCCCCACCTACATGCAGATCCCACCACCCAACATGCATGAGTGTTCTCAGGTTAGCTCAGCCTTCTACACACACACACACACACACACACACACCACCCACCCACCCACACACACACTTGCCAGTGCCATTTCCCACTCAGACCGAGCCACCCATGAAACACTCACAGGAGACATTGAGCTGGATGGTTCTCTGTGTGGTCAACCGAGGCCATTCCCGTTTCACCTGACAGGTGAGGTTGGAGCCATGGTCCCCGGGCCTCGGGATGAAGGTGAGCACCGAGGATCTGAGGTTCCGGGGGTCCAGTGAGTCCACAGCCTCTCCCGCCCAGGATAAGGTGAGAGGTCGTCCCCCTTCACAGGCCCCTGGCAGGCTGCAGGCCAGCTGTGTGGGACGGCCAGACTCCAGGGGCTCCGTTATCCGGATGTGGGGTTTCTCTGTCAGGGCTGAGGGAGGAGAAAGACAGGTGCCTGAACTCCTGGGTGAGGACTCAGAGTGTGACCCTGAGAGGCTCTGCCAGAGCTCACCAAGACCCTGTCTCTTCTGACCACCCAGGGCCCAAGGCCTGGATCAGGGAGTGTCCCAGTGTCTGGTTCTTGTTCCAAGACCGAGTTCCACATCTCAGAGTTCTCTCCGGGGCCTCTTCCTTACCTGTCACCTGCAATTTTAGCATCTTATCTTGGTAACTATATTTCACACTTCCTCTTTCCATTCGGAACATGTATGTTCCTGTGTCACTTCTCCGGGCGTCTCTGATCTGCAGGGAGCAGTTGTTGTTCGTGGCGTCCATGAGGAGGAAACGGCCTTGGGTTGCTGTCTTTGCTGGTCTATTTGGGTCCCTTGAGGCCACAGGTGAATCGTACCATACGCTGTCTTCTTTCGAGAACCAGTAGGTGTGGAGTTCAGTAGAGGAAGACGATGAACTCCAGGGGTAGGAGAAGGAGCAGGGCACGTGGACGCACAGACCCTCCTGCACCATCGCAGACTCCTGCACTTGGAGCTCAAAGCCTGGCTGCTCCTCCAGAGATTCTGGGAGGGAGACACAGAGGCTGAGAAACAGCCCCATCCCCCTCCCACTTCCCCACCCCGCATCCCCTGGCCCACTCACCACCCCACAGCAGGAACAGCAGCAACAACAGGGGCACCATGTCTGCCTCTCCCAGTACAGAGCAGATCCTGCTCCTTATGTCAGGGAGGGAAGTGCCAGCTCTTGGGTGGAGCTGAGGACACCCCAACAGGAAGCCCAGGGGCAGACACTATAGACAATCCTGGAAACGGAACTTGGCCTCTCAGGAGTTGGGTGGGGGGCGGGGAGATGTGGTGTCTGAGAAATTTTCCTATCTCATCTTCTCTCTCCTGACCCTTCAGGTAAATATACTGAGGCCCCCAGAGATTGAGAGGCATGTCCAGGTGTGAATCTGAAGGTGACCACCTTACAGATGAGGTGAAGTGGAGAGGGTGGTCCCCCAGGGGGCCACCATGGTCATCACTGGTCCTGGTGATTCAAGGGGATCCACCCTCTAGCTGAAACCATTTTTTAAAAGGGTAATTTTGAAATTTATTCACATCACTCAAATGCTGGAAAGAAAAGAAGGAATTTAGACCTTCTTTTTTAATTTTTTTATTTGTGATTCTTATTTTTTTAAATTATGATTATTTTTAATATATATTATTGATTTTTTACAGAGAAGAAGAGAGAGAGAGAGAGATAGTTAGAAACACCGATGAGAGAGAATCATCGATAAGCTGCCTCTTGCACACCCCCTACTGGGGATGTGCCCGCAACCAAGGTACATGCCCTTGACTGGAATCAAACTGAGGACCTTTTAGTCTGCAGGCCAACGTTCTATCCAGTGAGCCAAACCGGTTTCAGAAACCTTTTTTTTTTTTTTAATTTAGTTTATGGAGGGTGGAACCTAGGGGAAAAACTGACGCCTTTTGAGGCGCATGGGAAGCACATATGTGGGTCTCCCAGGGTGTAAGGGACAGTGATAGCACACAGACCCCATCAGAACGGGATGTGTGAAGGCAGATCGTGCCATTTCAGGGGAACCTCAGAGGTTGGACCTCCTCACGACAGCAAATTTGCCACCTTACAGCGCAGGAAGCTACACCTTCAGGGCCCCTCTATGGGCTCAGTCCCTTTTCAAAGCCCAGCAGGGGCTCAGATGATGTGTGGACATTACATGCATCCTACTGCTCTTTTATGAAAGAAAGAAACTAGATCAATGTTTTCCCAAATATGACAGCGATGTGAAATACTTCAGACATTTGCAGTAACAAGTTGTGCGACTGAAATAAGTCCCTTAAATTTTAGAGTAGAAAAAGAAATTTATCTCAACCATGCTGAGGACACAGAATTCTCTTTCTATTCCCTACTATATATATATATATATATATATATATATATATATATATATATATATATATATGTATAATAACAATTAATAATGTTTCTTAGTATGATATTAACACTTATTAGTATATAACCGGATTATTGTCCCATAAAGATTCCATCAAAAGAGTATCAATAAAAAAATATGGGTAGCATGTTATGCAGGGTATGCTATACTACTAATAAATATGGTCTGGAATTTTTCAGAATTGTCTTATTTTTGTTTTTCAGAACTGTAAGCTTTTGGGACATGATGTGTATTCTCATTTCAGAAAAAGTCACGTGTGCCACGTTATGTATTAGTTTTGAAGCAGTGAACTCAACATTTGTACAACTATCAAGCTCCACAAAACCAGGTCTTCCCCGGCCTTGGATGCAGATGAACAAGAGGTCACCAGCTCCCTCCATCCAGATCCCTCACGTATTATGATGCAGATTGGCTAGTGCAAGCAGAGGACCAAAAAAAGCAGGATTTCCATGGTTGTGCCCCACGGTTCCTATCAGTGAACAGTCTAGCACATCTCAAGCTGGGATATAAAAAAAAGAGCAGAAATAATAAGTGTTGGCAAGAATGCTCAGAAAGGGGAACCCTCTTGCCCTGTGCGAATGTAAACTAGGGCAGCACTATATACTAGTAAATCCATGGGGCAGTTCCTCAAAAATTTTAAATAGAGCTGCTGCATGATCCAGCAACACCACTTCTGGGTAATTACTTGGGAGAAATGAAAATACTAACTTGAAGAGACATATGTAGTTCCATGTTTGCTTTGGCATCTTCTGCAATAGCCAAGATGTGGAAGCAACCTAAGTGCCCATCCATAAATGAGTGGATGAAGACAATGTGGTACATATACAATAGAATATTATTCTGTCATAAAGAAGGAAAACTGGTCATTTGCAACAACAGAAATCACCAAAAGGCATGATAAGTGAAGTTAATCAGACAGAGAAAGACAAATACCCTATGATCTCACTTATGCGTGGATAGTTTGAAAAAATCAAACTCATAGCTCCAGAAAATACTTTGGTGGGTGCCAGAGGCAGAGGGGGTTGGGGTAGGAAAAAGTCAACACTTTCAGTTATAAAATAATTAATTCATGAGGATATAATATACACCATGGTGACTGTAGCTAATAATAATATGTGTTGATATTATGAACTACTGTAATATAATTAATAATACTGTGATGAATATCTGAAAATTTCTAAGAGAATAATTGTTACAATTTCTTATCATATGGACAAAAGTGTGTAACACTATGTGGTGGTGGATATTAACAAGATTTTTAACAGCTTGTGGTGAGCCCTTCACAATTTGGAACTAGCAAAAAGTTGTAGGTCAGTTACATTGAAACTATCATATATAGCCGAAACCAGTTTGGCTCAATGGATAGAGCGTCGGCTTGGGGACTGAAGGGTCCTGGGTTCGATTCTGGTCAAGGGCATGTACCTTTGTTGCGGGCACATCCCCAGTAGGGGGCGTGCAAGAGGCAGCTGATCGATGACTCTCTCATCAATGTTTCTAACTATCTCTCTCTTTTCCTCTGTACAAAATCAATAAAATATATATTAAAAAAAGAACTATCCTATATAATAAAAGCCCAGTGACAGAACAGTGGAATGACACGAATGACTGTGGCCCCTCACCATGGCTGGCCCCATCACCCATCACTCTCCATCAGGGTAGGCTGGCTGGACCCCACCAGTGCAGGAATTTGTGCCCTGGACCTCTAGTATACCTATAAACTCAGGCTGGGTGCTTTGATTAGAGTTAGGACATCCAAACTGTGTTCCCTTTCTGCTCCATTGGTGTTCCAACATGGGCATGACAAATTCCTTACATTCAATTCCCAGTGCTGAAATACATAGTGGGGCTTTTGTTGTTTCCTGCTGACCTTTGACTGATGGAATCTCAGTAAGTAAAACAATGAGGACTGGGTGATTTCCAATGCCTTTATGATAAAACTCACAGCCCACTACACAGGATTTCTCTAACGAGATAGAGGGTGTCTTTAGCAAATACCACACCTAATGCAGTAGCATTGGGTCCTATAAATGCATTAAAGAATATAGAGAGGGAGGGAGAGGGAGAGAGAGTTAGAAACATCAATGAAAGAGAAACATCAATCAACTGCCTCCTGCACATCCCCTACTGGAGATATACCTGCAACCAAGGTACAGTCCCTTGAATGGATTCTACCCGGGAATCATGAGTCCACAGGCCCACACTCTATCCACTGAGCCAAACAAGCTAGGGTTATGTTTCTCTTTATAAATAGTGCTATTTATGTCTTGTTCAGGAATCCCTCCCTACCTTAAATTCTTGTAGAAATCCCGAGATATTACGTTCTACCAGCTCTACTGTTTTGTCTATGGTAAAACAATAGATCTCCATCTGCCCTGGGTTTCAGTGCATCATAGGAGCTAAGGGTGCAATCTCATTCCACTGCATTCGGATTCCTCACTGCCCACACATATTATTGAAAAGCTTATCTTCTCACCACTTCTGTGCATCAGCCCCTCTCTCATGCATGGCGTTTCCTGTGGTTTAGGTCTATGGTGTTTCCAGGTGCTCTGTTCTGTTCCCATGGCCTAGTGCTTTAACCCTGTGTTAATGCAGTACCACTTGTTTTTGTTTTTTGGTTTTTTTTTTTTTTTTTAATCAATCTTTATTGTTCATATTATTACAGAGGTTCCTCATTTCTTCCCCCCTCCACCAGGTTCCCACCCCACCCTCTGCCCCCTCCCCATCCCCCATTGTCCTCATCCATAGGTGCAGTTTATGTTCAGTCTCTTCTTCCCTCAATTTCCCCAATAGTAAATCCCTTTTCAGATAGTAAATCAGTTACTTAGCATTTTCTCATATCAATAATACCTCCACATGCCCAATGATACACTTCACACAAAAGACATTTCCCAATAGGTCCACCAGCTTCATCCAGGCCCCACCTAAGGCACTCACAGATCAAAACCCCAGTCCTAAACTAACTCAACACATCCAGATCTAAGCCTTCATCACTTGATTCAGCAGACCCTCAAGTTCCCACGAAAGTTTCCAGCCATGTCTGAGAAGCAGCCGTGGGGCAGGGGCAGGCAAGGAGCGAGCTGTTCTGGGCCTGGCTGCTCAGGGCCTGGCCTCTGTTGCTCTGGTTCATTCCACAACCAGCTGCTCCGGGTCTGGTCACTGCTGCTCCCGACTTAGTTGCTCTGGACCTGGCTGCTGCTGCTCCGGGCCTGGCCGCTCCCAGCCTGGCAGCCACTGCTCCAGGCCTGGCCGCACCTGACCCGCCTGCTCCCCCGGGCCTGGCCGCTCCCAGCCTGGCAGCCGCTGCTCCGGGCCTGGCCGCACCAGCCCCGCCTGCTCCCCCGGGCCTGGCCGCTCCCAGCCTGGCAGCCGCTGCTCCGGGCCTGGCCGCACCAGCCCCGCCTGCTCCCCCGGGCCTGGCCGCTCCCAGCCTGGCAGCCGCTGCTCCGGGCCTGGCCGCACCAGCCCCGCCTGCTCCCCCGGGCCTGGCCGCTCCCAGCCTGGCAGCCGCTGCTCCGGGCCTGGCCGCACCAGCCCCTCCTGCTCCCCCGGGCCTGGCCGCTCCCAGCCTGGCAGCCGCTGCTCCGGGCCTGGCCGCACCAGCCCCGCCTGCTCCCCTGGGCCTGGCCGCTCCCAGCCTGGCAGCCGCTGCTCCGGGCCTGGCCGCACCTGACCTGGCTGCTGCTCCGGGCCTGGCCGCACCTGACCTGGCTGCTGCTCCGGGCCTG